CGCCTCCATTTGCGGCCGTGCGGTGCCGAGAAAGTGATCGGTGTACCCCTTCACCCCGGGTTTGCTTCTTCTCCAGGGCGCCCTTCTCTCATGATAAAGCTCGATTGTGTCGCCCTCTTACGGCTGCCGCATTGCACTGACGACTGGTCCAGAGCTTCCTTGATCCACGCCGCTTCCGACTGCGGCGGACAGCGTCCCTTGCCCCTGTTTCTCTTTCCGCCATTTGTGAAGACGCCATTTTATCCCCTTGCTTCATGATTCACAATGAGTGATTATTCAGCGGTTGCGCCGCCACAGAATTTCACTCAAAGTGCTGCATTTGCTTCAGCTCTTCAACGTGCGCGTCAGGTACTTTGAGCATCTGGTCAAATAATGCTAGTTCACTTGGTTACGGTTTGGGCCGCTTGTGTTTACATGCCAAGTGTCCGACGGACCCTGTCCCTCAGTGCGTTGTGTCTTCCCAATCCCGCTGCTCTCCCACATTATGTAGCAAGTGTTTCTTCTACATGTGATTAAAACCCTGTGTATTAGAGTGGTATTTCACTTGCTTATGCCTCTTTTAGTAGTATTTAGATTTGTGCGACTGATAGGTGAAGTTCCGGGTGTCCGATCGTTTTCCATTGCCCTTTGCTTTCCTTTGTAGCTTTCTCATTGTAATGGATAATCTAGGCAATTATTAAATACCAACTCTTTGTAATCCATAATCTATCCGTTGATGATTATTGTTCTTTCCTTCATCTTCGTATCTTAGTTGGGGGCCTAAACGGCATTAGTAGGATAGCCAATCAATATGGCGTCGTGTATCCTTAACCTCTCGAAAGGGTTTCTGTCAAAGATAACACTAAGCCAAAGACCTTTACTGTTTGTTATGCCATTCCCTTGTACAAGTTTACCTTGCAGTTCCTAGATCTTTCTGACATTCAGTCTGCAACCTCTTTGTTGGTCTATTTTGCCCTCTTCTTTTGTATTTAATCTCAGATTTTCATATCGTGACTTATGTATTGTTATTTTAGCACCAAGTATTATTGTTTGTTTATATTTTATGTTCTTCTTTTGTTTTAGATTGCGGCCAAAATAAATCCAGGAGGCACTGCTGAAGGTGGCGGAAAGCGACCCCTTGAAGACGGATCAGGTATGCTTAATAGAAGTGTTTCCTCAATTAAATGCCTGTAATAGATTTAGAAGTTACTCAATGGTTATCACTTTCTAGAACCCGAAGCCAAGAAAGTGGCTGGGGTTACTAACGACCCAGTGGCATCGGCCCAACTAAGCGCGCTTCGAGCCCAACAAGCATCTGGAACAGGTAATCATTTTTTGGAGTCTTGCTCTTTAGTTTGAAAGCATTTGACCTCCACACAATACATAGTAGTGTGGATTATGCATTACGTCAACTGCCTGTTTTGCTCCAGGTGGCGCATCTTCCGCAGCCGCAGCGGCTGCGGCTCAGGCGGCAGCGGTAGCAGCCAGGGTGGCGGCTGCGGCAGCCGCGGGCGGCCTGGGCCTTGGTGGCCTTGGCGGCGGCGTACACAACGAAGACATCAGGGTTCCGGACAAGATGGTGGGACTGAGTAAGTCGCAACTGTTGATGACCAATGCTGATGGATTTCCTCTTTAGAGGTTTTACCGGTGTTGGTTTAATTACCTATGTACATTTTGTGGGTGAGTGGCTGCAGCCACTTTGATGCTTGTCTACAGTTTGCAATAGGTTCTGCTAGATGTTTGCCCTGAAATTAACTATGAATTATCAGTCTAGTTGTTTTGTTTTATTTCTTTCTCTGATACAAGTGAAATCATCATGGGATGGCTATATGTTCTATGGTGATGTGTAATTTTTTCTTGAGATGAACTGAAGTCCCCTGTCAACAGCTTTCATACTGGCATGACATTTTATGATTTACCTACATGGGAAAAATCTGTGTTCAATATCATATTGTTCCCTAGTTTCAGTTTTTTTTCAATACTTATTGCTTTATAATAAATCTGCTTTAAAAATCGCCTTCTGCAATTTTTATGTATTCTGTTGGGGTTAACTATAGTATTTCTTTTTTCTTTGACTCACTGACGAAGTGTGGTTTTGGTAGTTGCTGGAGGGCTTTGTTCTTGATTCCCGCTGTAACAGCTTTGTTCAGTTCATTTCATGTTTGCAGACCAATATTCTTATGCCGCTGATGTTGTCAACATATGCTTCTCCTTGTGCTGACTCTTAATTCTAACATATTTTCTTCTTTCTTTTTCTGTGTATGGTTGCTATATTTTGGGATGGTTTTTTTTAAAAAAAAACAACATTTATTATTTTACTCCTTTAGTTTTGCTTGATAGGTTGAAGTTAATAGCCACCATATGTACTGATCAGGTAGATGAAAATGGACATGTGGTTTGCATGCCCGAGGTGGAGTGCTCTCAGTAATGCGAAGTTAATGGAAGTGTGTGAGCATGTCTTTAATTGAAGGGTAACATTAGTTTCATCAGTTGACAAAATGAGTGCTTCTCATGCCATCTCAGCAGGTTGTACAGATTTTAGCTTGAAATATCATGTGGTTAACATAGAGTTTTATTTTACTCATTATCTTAACCTGAGAGGTCGCCCCATCCCTCTCTGCCAAGATGGTTGTGTTGTACTTTTCTGTCAATTTTTTTGGTTTTTCTGTGTTACCCTGGTCTTGTAAATTCAAGAATGCGAGTGAGGTTGAGCATGTCAGTTGTCATGACTAGCTGTTTGATTCACAATGGAATTGTGTATTTTTGTTTCTTGCAGCTTCTTGATGAACCTGCCCCGAAACCAACTATCCTTTCTCTTTGCCCCTTTCTCCCTCAACTATGTATTTTAATTTTCTTCATTTTACTCTTGCTGAACTATGGTTTTGGCACCTTTTTCTGGTTATTACCTTTTTTATTTCAAGTTGGGGTGATGTCTTGTTCCACTTCCACTTTTGCAGCATTTGGAGGCAACCCTCTAGTTCTTCAATTTGTCTTATTTGTTCAGCACATTGGAAGTCTGTGGAGCTCAACTAAATGTGGAAAGACTGTTTTTATTTTTTGTTATGTTAATGTATTATTTTTCTGTTTCATTTTTTTTTATTTCTTACATGGCCCTTTTGTCTCTCCTCTCCCCCTTAAACACCCATTTATGTTTTGCTGCTCTATTTTGAAAAATATGCAATTTCATGGTGATGATTGTATGTGGGCCATGACACGATGTGATGACTGTGTGTGGTTCCAGATGGTGGCGGCCCACATTTGGGTTTTGGCGCCATCACCACAGAAGAAATATTGGTTCCGGACCGGATGGTTGGGCACCGTAAGTGTGGTGTAGGGGAAAGATAGGGCCGGAAGCAAATCATAACTTATTATTGGCTCCATATTAATTATGGTGCTTTGCTGTTGATAGTAGTATTTTTGCAGCAAAGTAGACTTGAGCCAACTTAAAATAACAAGTGTACAATTGTGCATTAAATTTGCATGACTCAGGATTAAGTCATCCGCAAACAGAATAGACAATTGAGGTCTCAGTTTTAATAAGTGTCATAGGTTCTTATTTTGTTAACAAAGGGGTTGAAAGGCATTTAAGTTCCTATCATCTAGGCAAACTGTCAATTATCACAGTTAAATTTTAGAGTGAAATTGAGGACCGGCCAGCATCTCCCCAAATCCACTCGTTTGCGGTGGTTCTTGTTTCTGTGCATGTCAAAGAGTATCTTTGTAAAAATGCAATATCAACTTGTCAAATAACTAGATTAGGTTTGGGTTTTGCTAGCATGCGCATATTGCCTGTAGAAGTTGTGCTCTGTTCTAGTAAATGTGCAAGAACAGTTTCCAATGCTAAGCTATGGAGCTTCCTTTTTCTTTGGACAGTAAAGTAGAGTTTGTTGTGCTAAGGATCAAAACAGTACTTGCCACTGCTTTAAGAATCAAAGCATGATTTATTTTAGTAGAGTGAAACTTTAGCTCAAACCCCTGCCTTTTTATTTTAAATTGTTGTAGCTTAGTAGGCTTAGTGCATATTGGCACATTTTAACCATTGCCTATACCACATTTACATTAGCTTTTGAAATGAGTGAATTATTTCTGTTATTCTTTGTTTGCAGTTATTGGCAGAGGTGGAGAGCAAATATCCCGGTTACAAAATGAATCAGGATGCAAAATTCAAATGGCTCCTGACAGTGGAGGACAACCTGACCGTGTTTGCACATTATCAGGTTCAAGAGAAGCTATCACGTGAGTTATTTTTATTACACTGAATGTTGCTTGTACAATGCAAATATGGTCCTCATCACTTTAAATGTTGAACAGGAGAGCTAAGGATTTAATATCTTCAATCGTACAACAACGTAGCAGAACAGAAGGTGGTGGAAATGGCGGAGGCAACGGTGGAAACGGCGGCGGCGGCGGCGGAGGGGGAGGAGGGGGTGGCGGAGGAGGAGGTATGCCACCTGGGCTTGGTGGCGACATGGGAGGAAACTCCACTCAGGTAAGATTTTTTCCTTTTTTTTTTACGAATTTTACTACCTTTTTTATTTACGAGGTAAACCATTTTTGGGGTGTGGCTTTTATTTTACCTGCAAAGGATGTGATTTTAAGATAGTCTATGCAAGTCGTGTGGCAGAATTTTCATTATTTTATTTTTTATGGGTTATATTCCGTCAGTAATGTTAGTTACTGGATCAAATTTTGCTTGTAAGGCTTTGAGTAAGCAAATTATATGTAGCTTCTGCATGACATGTTTTATCGTAAGTCCAACAGGTCATCTAACTTTCAAGGTGAGTAATTTGCCTCTGATGGACTTGTGCATGTTCAAGGCCAAGAGTTTAACAGGAGTCCTATTCCTAGACAACGTGGTTGGCAACTAGCAATTTGCAACCAGCAGCAAATTACAATTACTCATAGGCACTGTCTTTCTCCTGGGCTAATTGCTAGTCTCTTACTCCTCTTCTTATTAGAGCCATGTGAGAGTAAAATGCTCTCAGACAATGCTCTATTGTTGCACTATGTTGGGTTTGATGATCGGATTGGGTTAACCCTTTTCAAAACCAAATATCCTTTTGCTGTTCCTAGTGAGCCTTGGCTTTCTGTTCTCCTTGAATCATTGTGCTTGCTTGGGTACCCTTTTTTTTGAAAATAAGATTCTCTTGCCTTTGCTTTTTTTTCATGGTGGTACGTATTTAGAAGCAATACTTTAACCAAACCGTTATCAAAAATAGACCGTCTGATTCTTTGTTTACTATTTCAAATTAAAGAAGCTACTAAATTTGGGGAACCATGTTTGCACTATTGCTTAGCTGTTCTAAATTGGAGGAATATTATTGTCCTCCAGGTGGAGATCATGGTTCCTGGGCCAAAGGTTGGTCTTATCATCGGCAAGGGTGGTGAAACTATCAAACAGCTCCAAGACAAATCAGGAGCCCGCATGACAGTCATTCAAGATGGTTCTATGAATCAAGATCAAGAGAAACCTCTAAGGATATGTGGAGATCCTCAGAGTGTTGAGGTATTCACTATCTGCTTTCTTTTTTTTTAAACCTGCTTTGAATCTGGGGCAAGGCACTGATTATCAGTATGCATTTGGGCTGATTTTAAGATCCTTTCAGATCTCTTGCTCTACTTCTGAAGTTTTGAAGTGTTACTAACTCAAATCTGATGCTTGCAAACTAGCCACATGCATGACATTAGCAAAATATGTTGACCTTTCTAAACAAATGTAAATTCAGTTGTAGAAGTAGATATTCCAGCTACATGTGCATTAAATATCAGTGCCTTTCTCTTGGGTTCTCTTTCTGGGCTTTATGTTGGGGTAGCCTTGACCGAACAATTTTTGTTCCAGCATGCTAAAGCTCTGGTGTATGAACTGATAGCTGAAAAGGAAATGCAGGTAAGTGGCATGGGAGGCATGTATGCTTGGTTACCAAGGCCCCTGAGTGTGCAGCTGACTTTCACTTTCATTTGATTTAGAATGCATTTGGAGGCCGCGGAAGCGGCGGCGGTGGCGGTGGCCGGAGAGATGGCCACTTCAGTGATATGGGTGGTGGTGGTGCTGGGAGCATCGGGGGCGGTGGAGAATCTATGGAGGTGAGTCTTTGTGATGATAGGGTTTAACATAACACGACTTGCATAGCCACACCCCTATGAGCGATATTATGTTGTTGTTTTTTCTTGTCCTTTTCAGGTATTGACATTTATTTCCCTTTGTAATGTTAATTGGGAGCACTTACAGTCCTTGTGAAGGTCATTGTTTTTTCACACAGCATTAATATAGAGCAAGCTTGTTTTCTTTTCAGGTTCTGGTTCCACAAGCAGCTGTAGGTGTAGTAATAGGCAAAGGAGGAGATATGATTAAAAAGATTCAAACTGAGACTGGAGCCAGAGTTCAATTCCAACAAGGACGGGATGATGGGCCAGGAGAGAGGAAGTGTTTGTTAACTGGCAAGCCATCACAAGTTCAAGAAGCAAGAATGCGAATTGAAGAATTGATTGATAGCGTTTTGGTGAGTTTTCTTGTAATCAAGTAGATTTTACCTTGTGGCAAACATTTTTTAAAGTATGTCTAATTTTATTTTGTTACATTTTTGCAGAGAAGAGACAATGAGATGGGCAGAGGGCGAAGGGGTCCAGGAGGACCTGGAGGCAGACCTTTTGATGGCATGGGAGGTCGAGAGTTTGGTAGGGATGACAGGGCTGGTTGGGATAGAGGTGGTGGAAGAGTTGGTGGACCAATGGGTGATAAGCAAGAGATGGCTTTCACTATACCTGCTACCAAGTGTGGTGTTGTGATAGGTCGGGGTGGTGAGACCATTAAACAAATCAATTCACAATCTGGTGCTCATTGTGAGATGGACCGGAGACCAAATAATAACCCAACAGAAAAAATAATTCTCATTCGTGGTTCTCCAGACCAAATTGAGACAGCTAAGCGACTGATTCAGGATAAGCTTGGAATGGTAATTTATCCTCAATTTTTGTGTTTTGAGAAATTGTTTGAGTCGGTACTCTAATCATTTGCTTCCTCTGCAGCCTCTTGGAAATCCAAACGGTGGCCCTCCAAGCCAGTACCCAATGAGTGGTGGTCCTCCCGGTGGCCCAGGTGGTCCTCCCGGTGGGCCCGGTGGTCCGGGAGGACCTGGCGGTCCCCCTCAGCATTACGGTGCTGCTCAAGGATGGGGTGGGCAGTATCCCCAATGGCAGCAGGGTCAGGCACACCCTAGTGATCCAAACCAACCTAATCCCGTCCAAGTTAATCCTCAGACTGGCCAGCCTGATTATTCAATTCAGTGGGCAGAATATTATCGCTCTCTTGGAATGCATCGTGAGGCCGATATGATAGAACAGCAAGCGAAAGCAAACAAGGTAAATCAGTAACATGATTGCATTTGATGCTTAACTAGAGAGCCATAAAGGTATTTACCTAATGATGCTAACTTTTGTCAAAAAGGGAATGCAAGCAGCACAGCCCCAGCCTCAACCAGCTGCTCAACCTCAACCAGCTGCTCAACCCCAACCAGCTGCAGCTGGTGCAGCTCAAAATGGCCAACCGGACTATAGCGCCCAGTGGGCAGAATACTACAGATCTGTGGGAAAGATAAAGGAAGCTGATGCTATTGAAGCTCAGATGAAGGCTGCTAAGGCAGCTCAAGTACAATCCCAGCCACAAGCTGGAGCTGCACCTCAGGTACCAGGTCAGGCTGCGCCTGTGCAACAGTCTGGATATGGTCAGCCATATGGCTATCAGGTGATTACTTGTGGTGTAAAGTGCATTGAAACCTATATTGCATTGCAAATTTAACCTAAACCTCTTTGCAGGCGGCTGCTGGTTATGGCTATGGAGCGCCTGGAGGACCTCAACCACCTCAGCAACCAGGTCAACAACCTCAGTATGGATACCCTGGCTATGGAGCATACGGTGGTCAACCTGGCGGACCCGAAAATTGATCTGCTGAACGTGTAAGTTGGATTTGACACAGGGTAAAATAATTTATTTGTGCCAGAGATGTGGTTCTTAGGCGTGCTTCAAATGGCTGTAGAGCAAGGGGAGGACTCCTATTTACAGGTGTGCAGTGTCGGGGATGTCGGAGTTGGGCATGGTACCTGTCATGTCTTGAAACACATTTGTATCTATACTTCCTTCCATTCATATATATCTAGACATTTTTTTATTTTTTTTTAATAAACAATTAAAAACACATTTTAATGTGTAATTCCCACTAGTGACTATTTTTGAACCAGCTTAAATTGATTGTTTCACTGGAGGATTTGCAACATCTAGCCTTGAAGTTAGCATCCATTTGCTGTTGGGATTTATTAAATACGTAGGATATTTCATTTTCTTTTTCTTCCTATTTCCACAATCATCTATTCTGTAATGTGTGTACTCATTAAAATTAAAATCTTATCACATTCCAATATTTGTGGTATTTGAGCTCTTGCAGTTCAATTTTAAAATCAAGGAAAATTATGATAAACTCTTAATATACCTCAAAACGGGTTAGAAGATCCATTCCTGTTTCTCACCTGCCTTGAAACTGCATCTTCATCTTTGCAAATATGAAGTTGAATCACTACCTCATGCCGATATTATTAACACTCTTAGGCTTATAGGCAAGAGGTGCCATGTATGTTGTGACAAACCATGCCTTGTTCTGTGTGTTTACAGATTGGCCTGCTGTTGCTATGTCTGCGTGTTCTGCCACCAATCAGATCACTGTTATTCCTAGTGTACTGCACCATATTGAGAATCTATACCAGCGTTTAATCAGATTTATATATATATATATTTAAAAATACTTATATGCATCCCTTGTGAATGAATTTGGTGGGGAGTTCTAATTTGGAATCATGTTTTGTTCTGTGAATGCTAACTGCTGAAATATTTTGTAACTTTTTCCTTTTTTATGATAGTTCCTCCACCTGGTCTTGAAGTTATTTAATTTCATCTGACAATGGATGAAGCTCAGTGGTTGTTTTGACTTGCTTGATGTTCAGACACAATGTTGATAATTTTTTGCCCTCATTTTTGTTGAATGTATGTGATAGGGTGTGAAAGTATTTCACAGTGTTGCTCTTTCATTAAGTTCTCATTTTTCCCCCCCTTCGTTTGACATATTGATCGTAGAAGAGTCCATTATTTATATTAAGATTTGACTGCAAATGAGGTTTTTTCTTTTTCTTCCTTCAAATTAAACTTTCCCTTACAAATGGCAAGGGCAGCCAAGGACGTGTTCATCATTCATCCATCAAGAAGCACGTGATCTCTGAGCCCTGTGCTCATTGTGGTGAGGTAAAATAAGATATTGTAGCTCAATTTGTTAAATGAAGTTAAAATGTCTTATGTTGATCATTGTATTAGGGTATTACTTGTAACATGTCTTTCCGTTCTTTCCTCTTGCATTGTTTTTAAATATTAAAATGTCCCTGATAACTTGTATGGTGGTTTGTTATTCCTGAACCCCCAGGTCTGTGGCAGCAGACGACGCCTGGAGATTGTCGGGATGGCCATCTCTTCCCCTCTGTTTTATTTGATGAAAGTTACCTGACCTTATTTTGCCCTTTGCTACCTGATTGTTGACAATGTGGCACCAAACTCAATTCTTGACAGCTTTTCCTGTCAGTGTGATGAGATTGGAGTTCAGACTTTTTAACAATTAAAATGCTGCAAATTTTTTATTGATGTGTGTACTACATCATCTGTGTTGCACTTGTCTAACAAAGCTAAGAATTTACATTACACTTTACAAGGTTCTTTCTATGCAAGTCATGGTTTTTTGCCTAAATCAATTTAAAGTAGTGGGAGGAAATATTTGGGGTGAGGAATGGGGATGAAGTGAATTGTTGGAAGTCTAAATGACTCCTCGGTTTATTCCTAACATCTTCAGTGTTAAATACTCACCCTCATGGTTATGAGTGGTGTGTGACACTGTTCATAATTTGCTTTGAATGGGTTGAGCAGTAAGTAGATAAGAGAATGATTCACTCAAGTTTCTTGTAATGGTTGACTGCTAAATTGACTCTCACATGAAACAAGTTGTTTGCAAGATAATGATTTCCACAAACCATATTCCTTATGATCTTGAATTACACATCCTCCTTGTTTTAGGTTTTAATGGGCAGTTTTGTGTGTTGTAAATACCAGTCCAATAATACACTGTTAATTAAGAACAGTATTTCGTTTAAATTTGTCCACCCTTCCCTTTTTTAAAAAAATACTTTTAAGGGAATTTTGAGTTAAAGTTAGCAAGTTTCAGTTCTTTTATTTCTATCCTAGCAATTTTTCGCAAAGTATTTGCAGTGCGAATCTTGGAGATTAGCTAGTTATGTTTGTGGGTTGTGAATGGTGGGTGAAATTTTGCCCCAAATCAATGTGTGCTGTAGATACAGATTTAAAGTCTATTTGCCTTTTGAGACCTTTCCTTCCTGTTTAGTCTTACCCCTACTCTCTTTAAAATACTGTAGGTAGCACCAAGATAAACATGAGTGTTGCAAGTTTGGCAAATGTGTTTGTTTTAACACAATGGAGTGCCTGGGAGATGGTGAGTTTTATCCTGCCCCAGGGTGCTTGTGTCAAACACCAGCGCGATGTGTGTATTGTTTTGTCGTATTGCTCTTGTTCTTAAACATCAGGAAAACTTTGGTAGTTGCCCCATACCTGGCCTTTTCATGCTCTTGCAAAGACAGTTATTAGATGTATTGCCTTCGAATTTTGCCCATTGTTAGGGATATGTCTATTGTGCTTGTCTTCGTGTGGAGTAGGTGCTAGCTCTGCTGCGCCCGTGATCTGCAAGCTCAGTCCAATTTAATGGTGAAATCTGTTGTGATGAAGATTGATTTGCCACTGCTGATTGGTTTTTAATGTGATGTGCTTTGTGCTTGTATTGTACCCCATTCTTAATGCGAGGTGTAGGAGTGTCAAATGATGCTGACTTTCTCAGTTTGTCTAGTGTTACTTGAAAATCTCTCCTTTATTTCCCACCTGTTTTAATGGCATCATTCAAAATTTTTGCCTTAAATACCTTTCCTTTCCATGTGAGATTCTTTCGCTTCAAATAATTCTGGGTGGCTCCCTTCCTCCACATTGCCCTTTCTCTTTATTAAACAGGCATAAGACTTTCAAACACTGACTAGAGGCAATTGATTATTTATTTTTATTTATTTTTTCTTGAAGTTGGAATGAATGCTGTGTGTTGATATGGATGCTGTTTGAGTGTGAGGTGAGTGGTGCCCTTTCAGCCTCTTACACTTTTTGTTGTTTGTGTGTTTGAGAGCTTAGATCTTCCTTTCTTCCAAAGGTGAGTATAGTCTTCTGAATTGGTCACAGGCTTTATCTACTTTGTTCAGAATAATTGATCAGATTTGAGTTGAGTTAAATATGAATAGTATCCCTCTGCACTGTTTACCTTGCGGTCTTTGCATGTTACTATGTAAAAAATGCCAGGTTTACTTGCTTGATGAGGTCAGCCCCTGTAAGAATATGCAGTAGTCAGTCTGTCATCGGCTTTGTTCTACTCGTCGTGGACTTCCCTCCATTTCTGATTGGTCCTAAGGTATAAAACAAATATTGCGCTCATTATTTTGCTAGATGAGTGGAAACAAAGTTCATGTATTTTTAGGAAATGCTGACTTTGTACCAGGTTCTTAACTTGTTCATTTTTAACACTGCTTGTCTTCGTCTTTATGGCCTGTTAAAACTCAAATAGTTCTGTGCACTTTTTTTGTTATGCTTTGCCTAGCTCTCCCTCCATTAGCAGAAAATTAACTTCCCAGCATAAGCAGTGTCCATCTAATCTAAGAATGGTTGCTCTGATGGTACGGTAGATCTACTATTGCCTCCTTTGCAGAGCTCAGGTACCCAGCCTTTTGGGCTGGCATGAATGATTTTGCTTACATCGATAGTTATATCTTCTACATCTTGTGTGATACATATTTGTTTGGCTTTCTCACTGCATGAATGATCGCAGGTGATGCAGGAATAATGGCGCAGGGAACCCTGTTGCTTTCCTGATTTTTACATTGGTGCCGATTGCTAGTAGTTATTACTGAGTTGTAGCAAAAGTGATTATCTGAGCCATGTCTTAATATTAAATCATTTTCTCATATTTTTGGTACAACAGTTAATGGTTGATGAGAGCCTAATAATTAAGTACTGTGACGTATTATGCTCAATGACTGTGTTATGTATATATGTTGCCATAGCTTTGCTTCAACTCAGTAAAGTAACACAATCATTGTAGAAATCATTACAAACGTGTTTGTTCAAAAGAAAAAAAAATCGTTTGTGCCTATGTGAACCTTAGGGTAGCCTCTTATGGTTCACGAACTGTTGCACTGATTTGTTGAAATCGCCTAATATGTATGAGGGATTTTTTTTCCTTGTTCCTTGTTATTGTGGAGTTCATGGTCTGCTCTCCTAGTTCTCGCTACCTGACTTGCTCGTATTCGAGGGTGGTACTTGATTGGTTTTTTGCCATTTTTATTTCTGAACAGTTGTTGCATGTTATGAAACACAACAAATCACACAATGCATCTCAAGCCGAATTTGTTTTTATCATTATATTTGCTTTTTGTGCATCAGCTGCTTTATTAGATTGTTTCTGCAACCTTGTGATCCTATTAGGAGGTTGTGGCAATATGTCTCTTGCAACTTCATTGCAGAAATGAACTTTTGAGCTGCTTATTGTGTATAGGAAGAGAATGTACTGTAGTAAAACTGTCTTATCAGATTCAGTATTTGAATACCTATATGTCAGAAATGTTTTGAGTTGTGAGTTTCTGATGGTGTCAACTACTTACTGCTTGCTGCACTCTTTCTTACCATTTTCAATCAAATTTTTCTGTTTTGTATTTTGTTTTCTTCAATGTGGTTTCCAGTTTTCAATTATTTTTTAAAAAATTATTTTCAGAAACAATGAAATTATTTCACCTCTGCTTCTGCTCCATTCTTGCACACAAAAGGTTACTTCTCTTTTCCATATTTTTATTGACAACTTCTACCATTTTCTTCAGCTACGATAGTTTGAGCAATTATTCTGTGAAGAATGTTGAATTCTGTATCTTAAAATGAACAGTCTAATTGGGCTTCATTGTATTGTGCAACATATTTCCCCACTGTCTGTTATGAAGTCTGGTCACTCGGCATAGTTTATGTGAACTGTCTCGGCATTTGCATTAGTAGATGTCCTATAACTTTATATCAGACTGCATTTTGCTCTTTCTGTGCTATTGAATTTCTTTATTTCCCCTGAGGTTCATCGAGTTTTGGACTGGCCCTCTAGTCAAGGTGGTTTTGAGGTAAGTAATTCAAATTAGTACTGAGCTCTAAAGTTTGCTAACTGTGATCAGCTTTTTCAAAGATTATTTCGTGAAGTTACAAGACCAAATGTTTTTGAGTATTTAATTTGAAAGGTTTGGGTTTGAGCATTGCTACTCTTGGTTGAGTAATTGCTACCTTTTTTCTTTTAACCTCAGCATGTGGATTCAATTTGTGATATTTCTTCTTGACAATAAAATGCTAAAACCAAAATTTGTGTTTTCGTAATTCTGTTTACCTATGTCCCTTTTGAGCTGGGAAGCAGGAGATTTTCCTTAGAAGTCATTTATACAGAAGCACCATAATTCTTTAATTCGTTGGATAGGATCTAGATCACATACAAGGCTACCTTTTATGTGGTTTACACAAAGTTAAGAATCAATCTCTCACAACTGAATGAGACAATCTATTTCACATCACTTAGATAGGATGCATTGTCACAGCTCCTCTCCTTGCTGGAACATTCATGGGCCAATAATTCCTAACACATCTCTGCACAAATGAGATCTTCCTATTTGGAGAAAGCATAAGCTGGGCTTTGTCACCCAACCGAGTCTAGTATATTACTTTATTTTAGTCAATTTAGATGGAAGACATCTCTTGCTTAGATTCTCACATTTCTAAGAATATTCCAAAATAAATGAGAATGATCCCTAATTCCACTTTTGCTCTTTTATCCCGCTGCCGATACTTCAAGCTGTTTCTTATTAAATTGTGAAGTTCATGATGCTAGAATTCTTGAGCACATTAAGTTTATTTTGAACAGATGCATTTGTAGGAAAAGATCATCCTAGTCTGTCCAACTTAAAGTGTTAACACTGGCATATAATACATAGTTTCCTTTGTATTTTCTGTTAAATAGTAATGTATGCTTTCAATGCACTTGCATGGTTATGAAATGGTTTGAATCGACATTCAGAATAACCATCGGAAATAGCAGCTAGACGCTTTCAGTAAGGAGAAGGGAAAGTCGTACTTGAATGATAATTGATCCCAATTCAAAGAAGTAACAATTGCAATAACAACATTAATAACAATGTAATTATAATACAACTCAATTGTAATACAATATCCATTAAAAATATGACATGACTAAAATAGATAGTAACAGAATAAGTTTAAACAAATATAACAGTGAAATGTATACACAATTTCAGTACACACGGTGATTTTCATTGAATTTGAATAGTTCCATTTGACAAGCTTTACAAATTGCCTTGTGAGTAAAAATGAATTGAGGAACAATAGCGCGTTCATCATCACAGTGTGCTTATTTATATCATCCTCCAAGTAGAGCATCCAAATGCGTGGAATCTGTGACTGACTGAAATCAAAATATATGGTCATTGCTAAATACAACTCGTCCGAATCTTAAAGAGCACAGATATACTGTTGGTAAAATGGAACAAAAGCAGAAGTACCAAGATCAGATGTGTAGAGCCTGAAGATGTTTCTAGCTACATAACAATTACATAATTTAAGAACATCTTAAGAACATAATATGACATAAATTTCATGAAAAAAATATTCGTGCTAATATTTACACACTGGAATAAATGAACTTAGTAGAATGCTTACATATGTACACTACATGAAATGAGCATCACAGAACAGTAGACCTGGTAGTTTTAAACCAGTAGAAAATTTGAAAATTCAACTTGGCCCAATGGCCTTTACTTTAACACTCAACTGTACAAATGCAAACAGTAGTTTGCGATGATATAATATGATTGTAAAATGAAGTTAGGCTATGGAATGTAGTTAAAATTTAGAGAATTTGCCTTCAGTAGCCAGCAGTACCTAAGAATAAAGTAAGTCAATTTTTTTTTATAATTTCATATTTAGAAAGGGGGATTGACAACAGCCTGTTCATAGCAATCTAGGGTAGACTAATGCAAAATTATCAGAAAATATCAATAATTGTATGGTGGTAATAAAGACAAAGATAATAACTAACACACAAAAAAACCTTCAAAATTAAAAGGATAAAACTCATTCAATTTTCAGAAAAAATTGACGACAAATAATATGGCCAATACATGATAAGCCTAGGTCAAGCTTAAAAATTGAAGGCAATGAATTTGCTTTTCATGCAGGGTTATAGAATACAAATGCAAATGGATAGTAGATAATGTTAAAAGCAATCATAAAAGAAGTCTCAAACTAGACATATGGTAAAACATCAAATCATGAACCAAAAATGTGTTGACCGTTTTATCATACAAATTTCAAAATACAGATTTTACTTAGAAGTATAGATTGCTTTTCTTAGATATACATATATTCAAGGTTTCTGTTTCATATATGCTAACAATAACAGTAAATGGTGGACTTCAATTTGCACCAACACTACAATCTAATACATAGGTGATATAAAAATTTAAACTGCCTTGCAGGATGGACAACAAATAGAAATTTGACCTATGAAAAATATTGAAGTTAAATAGCAAAGCTAGCTAATCTTCATAAAGACAAAACTGGCACACTCTTCTAATTTAATTGCCAGAAAATGCCAGACTCATTTTCAAATTACTTCATAAAATAGGCACATAAACCTTTCCTCACTGGTTTAATTGCACAGATTTCAGTTTCCTATACTTCTCATTGTTTCTAGAGATTAACATACACAGATCGCGGAGGTCCAACACGTCCACGGTAAATCGCTCCGCAGTAGTTTGGAGGTAAATTAAGCTAAATTCCGAAAATACATTCAATCATTTGAACTTAAATTAACGAACAGGTCTGTAATGTCCAGACTGTTGACATCTTTAAAGTTGTGTGAGGCTGTCAAAAGCAAAACCTTGAGTAAAAAATCTCCTCTGAAGTATGATCGTTGTTTACACCCCCAAAAATATGTTTCTTATTTGAATAAACATATATTAAGTCCATCAAGATAGCGCATCATTGGTCCTTGTCATGGCAGATATGACGGAGACAGGAGAAAAAGCGCAGGAGCTGTGTGATGAATAATACTCCAATCCATGATTATCCATCTATTAGTAGTTCATCATTCATCCAAAGAAACTTTTAGAAAATCCAGAGATAGTTTTCAAAATTCTGTTCAAACACATTGTATGGTCGTGTATTGTGTTAGAATGTTTTCCCTGGTGTGCACAGACTTTATCGAGTTCCATAAATCTCGCTGTACCAAATATATTTATGGTTATGAATAACAGTCATACTTCAGTGGAGGTAAATGACACAAGGTATTGTAGATCGATTTTTAACAGCCTTACAGGACTTTGTTATGTCCACAGTGTGGACATAACAGACACATGTGTTAATATACGACCAAATCATTGGAGCTAAATTTGAGGACATTCTCATTGAAGTGCCATTTTGTTGTACATTATTCCTGTGGACGTGTTGGTCCTGACCTCAAACAAGAAATGGACTCTAGTTGTTCCTGTTGGTAACTCGAAATTATAACACATATTGCACAATAATAGCTTAAAGAGTGCACCTGAAAATGCTTGTCTATACCTAATTGGATGGAAAACCAGACAGTAATATTGGACCCCACCAAAACATTTTGTTGGTATTTTTGCTTTAAAAAAGTGCACTCTTGGAGATTTGCCTTATTTCATTAAGTAGAATACATCATTGATCAGAGATCGTCACATGTATATATACATTACCCGGCTAATGTTCCCATCTGGGGACTTCAACCTATCTGCCAGTTACACATTAAAAGACCTGCAGACTTTAACCGTAACATATACATATATATGTGTATATAGATACATACGTATAAGGATAATCTAAGGAAAGACTAGTGTCTCCCATTTTAAAATAGCTCTAGTAAAATTTGATATGAAAATTTAAATATTTGCTACCCTTAAGTTCATACTCACTTCCAGAATCAGTCCACACCAGCAAATCCCTGGGATCCTTCGATGGCTTTTATGAGCTTGTCACGTAGTTGGTGATAATTTTCATAAGGTGGAAGGTCCAAACGATTAAAACTGAAAATAAATACAGAATTTAAGGTTGTCTTCATTAGGCTTCATGAAGAAACAATGTTACTCAAGTTACCTTACCAAGTATGAGCCCTGGGATAATTCGATGGCTTCCCCCACTTCTCTATAGTAAATAGTTGAGGACCATTGCTTCCATATAACTCTTTGAAACCATTCATCGGCACTCTGGATGTACCTGTTACAAATTGTAGTAATCTGGAACGCATTTCATTGTTGAATGAGAGCACCACCTGTTTCAACACAGAAAAATCTTGTAAAAACAGTTTGATTTCAACACTCAGTATTTCTTACAAAACTTTGTGATGAAAACATACTCTCCAAAACCACTGGATGGTGATGTGGTTGGGATGGTAATCACCCTTGTAAAGAGTATTCTGTTTCCAATCTTTAACATCAATATTTTGGATTCCGCACATTAGTAGTTCTAATTCATGCTCATCAAAGATTTTGATTAAGTTTAGTGGGACAAGACAACTAAAACCATTCAGAAAGGCGTTCATTTGTTCTTGTACTCGGGACACAAAACGCCACTTAATTACAAGACTGAAAAAAAAGAAAAGAATATTGCTTTATCAAAATTGTTTTGAATTAATTTGAAATAATATGGTGCAGAAATATACCTAATGTATTCATCTTTGTTCTCATTAGTGACTGGTTCATTAGCACCATTAGGTTTCAGCTCCCGCTGAGATGTATGACCTAGACTGTCTTCATCTACACAAAATGTTAGCTCAAGCTCAGATGGATCATTTTCTTTTATCCACAGCAAGGAATTATAATATTCACTATCCACACTCTCCATATCTTTAAGATCAATATTTTTTTCCAGCATCATCTTGTAGAAGGGACGGATGAAAAATGCTACAAACACACAAGAAGCAAATTGGCAAATTAGAAAATTAGCATAGTTTGATATTCATCAGCTGCAGGTTATGACAAAACATAGATATTTACCATCTAACAATTTTCCATGGTAGACTGCCATTCCTGCAATACGTCCAATAAACTTGAAATAGCTAAGGTGCTCTTCATTGCAAAGTCCAGACAATGGGTTGATCTGAAGAGTGTAGTTGTCCCTAGGAAAAAAAAAAACATAACACACAGTGTAGTTAAACAGAAAACAAATTTGCCATCACCAAATGGAAACACAAAAAAAAATACTGTCACAGAGAATTGCACTTACATAGCAGAATATTCAAATAGTCCATAGTATGGATTGAACATTTCTTTGGATAACAGGAAGAACCATTCCCTGGCTAGACCACCATAATCCAAACCAACCTCCCCTTCAAATTCAACCCAAAGTTTTGTCTTTAAGAGATCTGTTCGATTTACATTACTGATGATTCTATACGAATCTTCTAAGATGTTAGATCTGTGTACTTTAATCTCAAATTTGTTGGGAACGTTGTTCTGAAACATTAAATATTTTTAATGGAAGGGTAAAAGTTGTTATAACAAAAAGAACAAAAACAAGAATATTCATAAAAGTATTACAGGCTTTCGTAGTTGTGACTTCAAGAAGTCATACTTTTTCTTGTAATCTCTAGAGTAGGGAACAGCCTAGAATAGAAAAATGCAAACAAGGGAAAAAAAAGTTAATATTTAAAAGGAAAAATAAGGGAAATGACTACATTGAACTGAACTTACAGGACCCGCAATTTGAGGGTTTGATAATCTAGGGTCATCCCATTGTGTTTGACGTGTATCTGGAGATAGACAAATGGATACAAAATTTGGGCTGTACAAAATAATCATACACTATTGCAATGGGGAAATGAAATAACACTTACTATGGTCTATGAAAAATATTCTCCCATCAGAGTGCATTCTTTCCTCCCAGCCTTCAGGGAGTGGTCCAAGTTCATCAGCAGGTTGCTGTCTCAGAGTTGGTTGTGTCGATGGTGGGTTTGGCATGGGACTTGCGCGACCTGTCCTAGGATCAACCCATGATGTAGATCTCTCATTGTGATCTATGAAAAACATCCTGCCATTTGGTGCTATCTGCATTGACCAGCCAGGTGGCAGGCCAGCAGAACTCAAGTTTCCACCTTGCGTTTGAGTGGAAACATCACTTGAATCATTATTAGAATTTATAGTGGAGTTGGCTGATGAATTTAGAGCTGTATTGCTTGTACTATCACCATCTGTGTTAGAAGTTGGTGCCTGAAATATAAATCAGTCAATCCCACACAACTTCATTCAAATGGTGCACTGCTCACATGTTCCTTGTTTAAATTAAATTACTTACACTGCTTGATTCTCTACGAGAGGAACTTGGACTGTCAACACTATCACTCCCTTGGCTTAAGCTTGCACTGTTTCTCTTACTTGGATCATCCTCATCTGCACTGATATGGAACCTTCTCTGAAATTCAACAGCTGCAATCTCAACTTGATCAGATCCTGCATTAATTTCACTGTGAAATAACAGATTTTAATGTAATATCACATTGCAAATGGTGAGGTCAATTTTGAAAATTTAGTGAATGGTTGGGTTTTACCTAACTGTTGGTCTCTCCCACTGAGTTGTTCGTGCCACATGATTCACATAGTAGGTTCTCCCATTCCCATCCAGTCGTTCTTCCCATCCCAGTGGGAGGTGAATAGACTGTTCTCGATCTCCAGACTAAACATAGATTAGATCAACATCATTATCATACCTCTTAAAATCACACACATAAACTACTACAAAGTTTAAAAATTTCATGGAATTCCATGAAAAAAATTGTGTTTTTTTAAAACATTTTTCCTGATGCTGGCTAATGTTTTGTACAAGCATACCTGAGCTGGTCTTTCCAATTGTGCCTGATCTGCCTCAACCATTTCCCAAGTAGAATCATTTTCAGTGGAACTCCTCTCAGAAAGACGTCTTAACCGCCCAGAGCCCTCTTCCTGAGAAGAAGTAGCACCTGGCTCTCTCATCCATGCATGATATAGTTCTAGGTGTCCCTTTACTCGAGACCTGGCACTACTGCAATGAGGAAGTTATATCCGAAATGTTACATCCAATAAAGTTGAGAAACTTTTATGATCATGAATCATGAAGTCTTACCTGCGAGGTAATAGCACATAATGTTTGGATGGAATACTTCGTCCTTCAGCTTCATAGGGTATATTTTGGAGATTTAACTCAACTAATCCAAGGAAATCATCGCGAGTAAGTCGGTTTTCATCAAACACTTGAAGGACCAATTTGTGTTCAGCAGGTTTCACCTGGTTTAGTGGAAGGAGCAGAGCAAAATAAATTTGTCAGTTAGAATGACATACCTGGAAAAATGGAACAGTAATAACTTACCCTGAAGACAAATTCTTGATTCCATACTGGATTGAGAGTCTGGAAAAAATTAAAATTTTGAGCAAGAATGAGTTAAAGAGAATTTACCAAATATGAATTATGGAACTGACCTTTTTTTTTGTTTTAGTAAGAACTGAATCAATAGTTTGATCACCATTGATGGTCAGACAATCTAGCTTTACATATGGATCACTGGGGAGAAAAACAATAAAACATTGTAAACAAACATAGTTGTTGTAATAAAGAGACAAAAAAAAAAGAAGTTTTAAGGGTGAGATAGAAAAAAGTACCTGGCACCGAATATGTCTTTTTTGGCTAAACAGTGTCCAGCAACCACTTTTAAACGGAGACGGCGTATGCTTCCATCAGCCTAAAATTAAAAAATGAAAATGAACTGTGAAACGTTAGAGGATGTAAATGCATTAAGACCAAGCAGATACAGAAGTAAATAAAATATTGTCGAATCAAAAAGAAACTGAGCTGATAAAAATATTGATGACTTTGCAAATTATGATGATTATTGTAATAAAATGGTATGAGCATTCCTCAAAAAATATGATTCAAACGCTTCAAACACAAGAAAAATGAATTATTAATTTTTGGAGTAATAAATTTAAGTATCAACACAGAGGAGCTTAAAGAAGCACTAGAGTGAGAAAATCACATGACGTCAACACCGTGAGTGTCAAAACCGTTGCGAAACAACATTAACTGAATTTTTAGAGGCGACAATGCACTGAAATTTCGGACAGAAAATTACAGTGCAGGAAAATGGGCAACCTTATCGAAGTGGCCTTGTAGCTGAGATATGTTGAGAACGAAAAAGGCCTATAGGCTTGTCCTTACGTACCGTCCCCGCAGGACCATGAGCAGGAATGCAGCCGAATTCATTTTGACCGGCCATTAGTAGCCTACTTGCCGGCAAACTATTCCTTCTCACAGAAGGTGGGCGACTGCCATGCATTTTGAACACTAAAATGACATGTTACAAATCTAAGAACACTGCGTGTTTCTGATTGTTAGCGAATAGCGAATACATAGGCAGACGATGCCTTCTAGCAACAAACAAAACTCAGTCGATATGGAATAGTTTAGGCAACAGTAAAGATGTTTTTATTACATTTCAATTTAAGCATAAAGAAAAACCAGATCAAATTTCACACACTAAATTGATTTTTTTACATTTTCAACGTTTGAGTGTATTAATGTAGAAACATTGACGCGCACGATGTGATAGTGCTCACTGTTTCAAACATTTGTCTGGTTGGTCAACGCGTTGCTCCATGTCTTGTCTGCTGGCTGTCTTTGGACGTCTTTGGTCTATGGTCTTTGGTTAGGAGGGCTAGTTAAAGGAGAAACGCTTTATGTGACCGTATTTGTTCATTTGCGAGTGACAGGATGACGTACGTTCAGTATCCGATCAAAAGTGATTTGGACAGGTTATCCTACGATGAGTACAGAGAGAAAACTTCGCTCTTTAGCGAAACTTGGTTACCTGCATCTCTGGGTTTCGCTGCATTCTTCACGTTCGCTGCTAACAATGTTGCTATGAGGAAACCCTATTACACTGGTGCGTCATTGTAGTGATCTACTTTACATTTTTCTTTGTAAAATTCTTTTAGCTTAAGTGTGCTGTTTACGTAGATTTCATTGCGATGCCCACAACTTTGCCAAAACAATTACTAAACACTATGTTATTCATTGTGCTTTCCTCAGGTATCCAGAAGCTTTTATTCTATATTCCTGTTGGAGTTTTTGCTGGTATCTACTTTCGAGATAGGCAACGTGAGAAGTCTCGTCAGAAGTGGGCTGCTCACAAGCATTACATTGAGTTGCATCCTGAAGATTTTCCGCCTTACCCCAGTGAGTATAGAAAATGCTTCAGTTTGCTCTAATTAGGCTTTATCAGCTTAAGAATCTTAACATCTTAACAGATGCATTTTCATTGTATTTAGCACTATGGCAATGATTTTTAGTTCTGAATATGTTTTAATTGGTTAAAAGTGCTGACCAGAACCTTTAGAAAGATTTGCCATCGCTTCAGTTCGATGGAAAGCAGAGATCCTTGGTTTTGCAGGATCTTAACACAACTTTCAAGGAAACCATGATTCATGACATTGTCGGTCGTTGTAGCATTCCCGGATGTTTTGGTCAGCATTTTAGCGAATATAAAGACATTCAAATGTAAAACCATAGTCTTACGATCAAATATAGTGCAAAATGCACTTGTTCAGATGTTAAGATCCTTAAGCTGATAAAGCCTTAATTTCAATTTAATGTTGCTGATGAAATTGTCTCTGCTGTAGGGCCTGTCAAGGTTGGAGAAACCCTGGAAGCATGGCTTCCTTTCCGCACAGGATGGTGATTGGTTCAAGTCACCTTGTTTCAATGTTGTAGGTTTTAAATTGATAAATATCACATGAAGGGATCTGGGTTTGTACTAGTTAAATATTGTATGTTATGCAGCCTGTTTTTCAGTCTCTGTAATGACTATGCTGGTGTGATTACAATGCTACTATCATGTAAATAAGAATACAATCCAGAAACAACATTTTATTTCTTTTGTTTGATCCCTAAGTGGCACTTCTATACATAGGGAAAATCTGAAATATATCACTTGTGTTCATTCGTTGTGTTTATGGAGTAATATTTGAAGTGATAGTAGCAACACCTAGTGGTTTTGGCAAAGCACATTCTAAAAAGAACTTTTTTTTTTTCAAAAACGAAAATATGAACTATATTTAGGTCTTTTTACAGCAAAACAAGTAAATACAAACTTACAATTTATTTACTTAACTAAAGTAACAACATTGTTGTAAACAAAGTAACAGTCAATAGTTAATCACTTCTGGAGGGCTTATATCAGTCACATGTTGCTGAAAGGGAGGAATGCATCTAAATATTTGGCTCTATTAAGACAAAACCCTACACACCTAATTCAGCGAGAGAAGTTTCTAGCTGTCAAAATCAAGCTGTTGGGTTATTGCCAGAGTACGTAGTCATACTTCGTTGTCAAACACATTAATGTTGTTGAAATTTTAGTTAAAAATTGCCCCCTCCCCAGAAAACACACACAAAAAAAGCAACAACTATTTAAATGTACATCATATGTAAATTTTGAAGTTCCAAAATATAATATTTCAGCATGAGGAGAAATATTCCAAACAGCGTCACCTGTTCTGTTGGGAATTATCTTGCACCTTTGGATATCTCTTCAGTTCTCTGGTGTGTACTGATCCTTACCATCAATACCAGTCCCTTCTGAGTCTCCAAGCCAAGGATATCTTTTCGGGCAGGATCGGCATGTGGTGAGATATCTAGAACACAATGAGAATTGACCACTTGAAGTATAGACTGTAATGTTATGTCTATTCTTAGCTTGATAAAGACCCCATTAATCCGCAGAAATTGAAAGATTGTTAGATTCATTACTAATTAGTTTTATGTTAGCCTTCTTATTTTTACTCTTGAAACTCAAAACTCAAGTGTAATACAGTCTAACAGTTGTAAGTGAAATACCAGGTGTCTCACACTTGTAACTGCAATACCACGTGTGAACTACGCGTACTAGTGTAGGACGACACATGTACCACCCCTCACAAGGCTGGAAACTGATATTGCACTTACAACTGTTAGACTGTATCACACTCGATTCTCCGGAGTAATAATCTACTACAGGGTGTGCTATTTTGAATTTTTAAAGCTGACTTTTTGTACAGCCTATTTTTCCTCTCCCACTTTACGCGTGCAATCCAGTTACTTACCTCGTCGCTGAGAAGTTGGCCTCTGGCGGTTTGAACGGCACCGCACAGCTGTTAGGCAGGCTGCACGGCGGAGGTGGTAGGTTCTCTTTCTTCTCGCACTTCCACGCCTCCAGAGTGTTAAGGTCCTTCGCGGGTCGTGGGTCCGTCATCCACACGAGTGCCTGGGTCACCGTAACGAACCAGACGTCGGGCCTGCAACCAAAGGGGAAAATGGAACATTTGATTGTGGTTCGCGGCGGTGGCAGCGGGGTGCGCGAATGTGCTCAACGTACAAGCCCTTGGACCAGTCGATGAACTTGTGAAGGCCTTGCTCCAACTCCTTGATCTGGAACCAGTTGGTGTGGAAGGGCATCATGTACGGTGCTCTGTTCTGCTTGTAGTATCGGTTGAAGTCCTCCTTGAGCCACTCGAACACCTCGTCCGAGTTGTGGTTGTGGAGCACACACTGGTCGAGGTAAGGGCAGTGGCCGCCCTCGTACGTCTCAACAAAGTGGGCGTTAAGCGGCACCTCCCAAATGCCTGTGATCAGTAACAAACCGCAGTCATGGACCATTCGCCAGCTCCCCGGGCTCCGCTAAGCTCCGCCCGCAGCCTCGTGTCGCTCCGACACTTACCCCGGAAAGTCTTGGTCGGGCAGGTGCCCGACTTGCACTCGTGCGGTATTTTGTAGTCCAGCGTGTACGGCCAGATGGGTACCCTGGACGGCGGGATGCCGATGGAGCTGTCGTAGATGTAGCCAAAGTCGTCCATGACCTCGTACTGCGTGTTGCGGCCGGGTTTGAGGTAGGGCGCGCGCATGCCGGTGACGTCGCTGCGAGACACGTTGGCGAAGTGGCGCAGGATCTCCCGCATACCGATCATCTCGCCTACCCACTCTTCGTAGCCCTTGTCCTGAAGACCTTGCTGCAACCTGCAAAAACAACGACAAGGCCGTTAGTACTTGTGGAGCTTGGGGAGGAAAAGGCAAAAGCGAGGGGGCAGGGGGGTGTACGTACGAGATGGTCTCGGTGCCGATCTCGTGGCCCTTAGAGGCCAGCTCCTGCACCATGTGGTAGTCGCAGTACTCGTGCGAGATGAAGAAGGTTCCACGAATGCCGCAGCCGTTGGGGTTTTTCCGCTGGTCCGTGAACACCTTCTGATAGTGCTCGATGTTGTTGATGTTGACGGCGCCGTCGAACGTGAGCAGGATCATCTGCGGCGTCTCGGCTGGTTCGAGGCCGCCGGGGATGAGGGTGCCGTCGCGCGAGCACCAGCAGTACGGCAGCTCGCACTGGCTCGGGTCGCACTTCAGAGCCAAGTCGACGGGTGTCTCGGTGATGGGCGCGGGCGCTGCGGATCAAAAAGTAAGCGATGATGTCCAGCCTGCCGCAGGTAGAGCACCGAGCACACCAATCTCCCTCGCCGGCTGCGACTTACTCGTCGGCAGCGGTCCGCAGCGTGCCTCTGTTTTGAATGTGCACAGCTTGTTCACGTCGTCGAAGTATAGGCTGGCAGGACAACGGTTCAGGTACGGGTATCCGTCGACGCACTGAAACAGGCGGAGAAAAAGATGTATATGCAGGCGATTAGGAGGCTGTCCCGCAACACAGGGGTGACTAGCGGGGCGGCCTATCCGGACCTTCGCAGGCGTTGGCAGGTAGGCCGTCCCGCAACACAGGGGTGACTGGCGGGGCGGCCTATCCGGACATTCGCAGGCGTTGGCAGGTAGGCCGTCCCGCAACACAGGGGTGACTGGCGGGGCGGCCTATCCGGACCTTCGCAGGCGTTGGCAGGTAGGCCGTCCCGCAACACAAGGGTGACTGGCGGGGCGGCCTAGCTCGACCACCGCAGGCGCTTTTTCTGCTCACCTGGTAAAACCTCCGGCACGTCGAGGGGTCTGCGAAGTTGCCGTTGCCGCTCCCTTCCGGGCACTGGAAGTCCTCCTTCTTGTCATCTTTCTTTTGGGCGAGCGCTGAGGAGGTAGGGGAAAGAAATGGAATTGATCATTACGGTAAGACAAAACATGAAAGGGGGGTTTCGCCGAAGTAGTCGCTTTGAACTTATTGCGGCCGGGCTGCCAGTAGTGACTGCGTGTTCCTGGACGCGTTTGGTCGTGCGGTCCGACCGGGCCCTCTAGCGTGAGCGCCCTATTCCGATAACCATCGCTCCCGTTGGGCGGTGCGCTGCACGGGCGAAACACTCGGAAGTAGCCAGAGAAAAACAAGTATCCTTGTGATTGAAACTGACCGAATGCTGTGTCTAAATTCTAAATCGTTGCACTGCTTGCCCTGTCGTGACCAGCCCTCCCTGCCGTGCGTACGCCTCTGTCGTTTCTGGCTGGCTGCGTTCTGAGCTGATTTAATCTAGACTTTTATAACACATGCGGCTCTTTTTTTATGAATCGTTGAAAACATATTTTTATTGGGTACTCTGGCTACACGGGCGAGCGCGCGGATCCCTCACTGCACGAGAGCTGTCGCAGCCAGTCGAGCCCAGCGGCCGGACCCGTACAGCGCGCTCCATCCTGTACTACATGGTGTTGTGGATGCGCAGCGCCCGCTGTGTGTGCCGCTTGTCCATCTGCCGTGTGTGTGTCTGTCTGTCGGTCCGTCTCCCAGGCGACCTTACGTCACGCGGCGGGGGCACCCAGCGCGCGCGCCACTCTGAAGGTCACTCTTTGTAGGAGAAAGTAAGTAATCTGGTTACCCGCGGGCTGGGCAGGCTGAGCCCGCCGCTCCACTCGTTTGCTGCCGGGTCTAGCGCAGACTGCAGCTGCTCCATCCCGCTCCCGCCAAAACAGGCGCGGCCTCTCGCCGCCTCGCCCGGGCCGCACGACCCGCGACCACAAACTTTCTTTGTAAAATTACGATAGTGACCTCCCCGTTGCGCCGTCAGCGCCATCGTTCCGCCGTTACACCACGGCTTACTGCCTCGCTGCCTCCCGGGGCCCGTGCAGTTTGCTCTCCAAGGGCCGCAACCGCATCACGAAAGACAAGGTGACTTTGCCGATGGGCTGAATTCGATGTCTGAAATCGAGATACAAACTTCAGCTTAGTTCTCTCTTCGTACAATTAATCCGGTCGTGACAACCAACACTCCCTCCAGGTTGTAAGGGCATCGGATTCTGGGTTTCAGCTATCGAATTCAGCCTACCGAACAGAGTTGACAAAAGTCTTTTCTCTCGCGTGTGCATGGGACTGCATGGGGGAGGGGTAGGTCTGTGGGAGCCCCCTATAGAGAGCCTAGCCCCTGGAGTGCGGGGTGGGTGGGGGGGCTCACCTTGAGGGGCTCACACACACACCGTGCCGTGCCGCGGCGCGCTGCAGTCAGGCCGGGATGCATTCAGAACTCACCGTCCTTGCCGTCTCGGTCCCTCACCCGGCACCCGCGGTCGCCACGCTACTTAAATAAGGAAGCGGCTCGCCATTTTCACATGTTCTGCTGTTCCCCTCCCTTGAACGAAAAGCAATGAATTTTCCATCTCTCAAAAAGGGGGCAAAAAAAATGGGCACATGCCCCCCCTTTCGTGTGTAAAGGTTTCTATGTTGTCCTTCACAAGTAGGTCCATCAGAATCCATTAACTTTAGCACACAATAAGTCGTGAACGCGTGGGTTTGAACAACAGCCCCGGCCAACTGACCCTATTTTTAAGACGCTGTGCAACGCCCCGCCCCCGCCCCGCCCCACTCGTACTCTGCTGCAGGCCGTTGCATGATGTGTGTGGTTAGAGAGTCTCGAGAGACTCCACCTCCAGTCGTTTCCCTGTTTCCTAACAGTCCCTCTTAAGACCGCAGAAACAACACACTCTTGTACTGCTGCTTCCCCAGACAGTGCGCCCGATAGAAGGCGTGACAAACAAAAGAGCGCAGTAGACCGACGAAAGGGGAGGAAAAGAAAAACACTCCCGAATCGTGTGTCGTTTGGGTTTTATTCCATCCTCCTATGTTGGAATTATCATAACAAAATGTCAGGGTTGAAGCCATCCAGCTCGAGGCTCGCATCGCAGACCTGTTTCGCAGTCGACTGCTGTCCGCTCCTAGTCGACCCACGCCGCTGTCCGCTCCTAACGGTCTGACCCCGCAAAACTGTATTATTGCAGTTGAGTGGTTCGAGACGCGCCTGCATCGTATCCGGGCTGTATGGAGCAGGGGCTGATAGAACGAGCCGAGCCGAGCCAGCAGGCCACGGCTCGGAACCGAGCCGAGCCGGTTTGGAGACCGCAACGCACGAGCGCAGCTAAAGAGTCCTCGTATGATTATGCCCCCCCCCCTCTCTCTCTCTTGCCCCCTCCCCCCTGCACTGCGTCTCCTTTCCTTACGTGACTTCCTTTACTCCCCCCCTCCCCTCCCCCGGGGCGATACCGGCGGACAGGAAACACCGAGAAGTTATAGAGCACACGTTCGGACATATGTTTGAATCAAACCAGAAAAAAACGCACACCATTTGTTTTCAATCCATATGTTCCAGACTCTCTTGTTAGAAAATGATGATCGGATAAAACAAAATCGTCTTAATCCAGTCCAGGTCCAGAGAGTGGCGAAAGTTCGTTACTCATTTCTCCTCAATCGGTCGGTCGTAATGGGAAATCAGATTCCTCTCATCGCATCGTGGTCATGCCGCAGCCACACCGTGGTCACGCCACAAATCTGCTAGTCTCTCCCTCACTGCGGGCGCCCTGGTCGCGTTTGCACTCACCTGCGGCCACTACCACCGCCAGCCCCGCGAGGACCAGCGCGCTGCGGGCCATCTTGTGCTCGGCGCGGGCGTACGGCCTCTGGCCCTTGTGGTGAGCCTGGCACCGTCACGTCCTGAACGACTCGTCTCGTTCTCGTCCGTACGGTCTCGCGACTCGATTCATACTGAGGTGTTCGCACAGCGACCCGGCCGGGCCGCGCGGGCCGCGCCGCCGCGCAGGGCAGGGGGCGGCAGGGGGCGGCTAGGGGGCGGCAGTCCGACGGCAGGGCGGCGGCAGGGGGCGGTAGCAAGGGGGCCCGTGCGTCCGCCGGGCCGGGCTAAACATTTAGGGAGCCGGTTGACTTGTCCTTCCCTGTGGCTCCCGCCCCCTCCCCTCCCGCACAGGACCTGCGTCCCACCCGCCTCATTGGCTGTCCACTTTCTCTCCTGCCTCTCTCTCTATATCTATCTTTCTCCCTCTCTTTCTCTCTCCCCACTGATTTGTCCTTCTCGTCTACCTCTGGTCACCTCTGACATTCCCCCTAGCCCCCAGTCCACCCCCACCACTTCAA